AATCCTTCAGATATATGTGTGCAGTCTGGAACATGAATTTCAACACAGTATTTGGCTAAAAGCCTCTTTGATCAATGAATATGTGAATAGTTTATGGTTCTATGTGCTCATATGTCCTGTGTATATATATATATATATATATATACATTATACTCTATACTGTAATTTTAAATAAATTATTTGCTTTGACCTTTTATATATTTTGCCTTCTTTATAAACAGCAGAGCCTCACATACACAAATACATATTTCTTCTCACTTTTATGATATAAGGGCTAATTTTCTCCTGAAATGCACGTCATGAAATTCATATTCTCATGGTGGTGACTGTGATGAGTACCATGGTCTGGCATGTAACAATGTACAGTTTGATAGAATAACTTTTCAACCTGTAAATCCTTTGTACATATAAAGTCCAACATCAAAGGAACAGTAACATCATGGTTGATTGTTATCAATTCTGTAGATGCAACGTATTCTGTTGAATCCATAAAAAGCAATTTAGGGGTATCTGGAGTAAGGGTTATGGAGGCTTCCTTTCATTATAATTTGTCTTCGTTTTTTTATTGCTAAGTGGGTTGGAACTGAGTCCCTTGTACTGCGGCCACTTCTGGCCTACTGTACCAGCCCCAGATAATAGGCGAGTGTGATTGTGGAGCAATTGGTGGAATGAAGATTGGCAGGGGAAACCGAAGTACTCGGAGAAAATCTATGCCACTTTGTCCACCACGAATCCCACTTGACCATACCCGGGCCGCCATGGTGGGTAGCCAGCGACTAACCGCTTTAGCTATGGCACATAATTTGTCTTACTGAACAACAATTCTTAAAAAAAAACAATTATATATACATGTACAGAGAAGAATATCAAAGGTAATAAATACAAGTGTTAATCTAACCTGAAATAGACCTTAAATAAAAAATCATAGAATGAACAGGAAGATTAGTATTTATCAATACAGATTCAATTCCCATAATCTGATAGTATAAAAATTATATGTTAACTAGAAATCACTGTTAAAATTAATTAAAATAGCATACATTAGAAATTACTAAACAGTTTCTGATAAAGTAATCAGTTGTCAGTCATATTTTGTGCAGTCAGATATAAGAACGCCAGTAGAATGTTTTATTATAAACACTTTGATAGGCCTCACAAAGGCTTAATCAGTTTGAAATAAGTACTGCATTAATGTGACTCTTTTCCTCCACAGCAATATTATGATTTTCCTAATCAATAAGGTGACACCCAAATTCAGCACAGGATTACATAAATTCTCATCAATGGAATACAGTCATCAACCTGTTCACTTTTCATCACCAGACTCGCAACTTTATCATCAACATACAGATGACACAATAGATCTCTGTATTTGCCCTCATAAAGCAGAGGCAGTCATTGCACAAGACTGCTGTACTCCACCTTACTTATTTACTTACTTACTTACTTACTTAGTCATAGAGTAAGGAGGAGCCGCCAATTCTGCAGCTACTCAAGAATTTCCCAGCATTTTATGGAACCCGAAGTTTCATTGTGTTCACAAGAGCCCACCACTGGTCCCTATCCTGAGCCAGATCAATCCAATCCATACCATCCCATCATATATCTCCAAGATCCATCTTAATATTGTCCACCCACCTATGCCTTGGTCTTCCCAATGGTCTCTTTCCTTCTGGCTTTCACACCAATATCCTATACGCATTCCTCGTCTCCCCCATTCGTGCTACATTCCCTGCCCACTTCATCCTCTTTGACTTGGAGAAGAGAACAAGTTATGAAGCTCCTCATTGTGCAGTTTTCTCCAACCTCCTGTCATTTCATCTCTCTTTGGTCCAAATATCCTCAGTCTATGATCCTCCCTTAATATCACCAACCAAGTTTCACACCCATACAGAACCACAGGCAAAACTATAGTTTTGAATATTCTAATTTTTTATGTTTTTGGACAGCAGACAAGAAGACAAAGGGTTCTGGACTGAATGGTAGCAAGCATTACCCAAGGTCAATCTCCTCTTTAATTTCCTCCTGAATCAGGTTTCGATCTGTTATCGTGTTCCCAAATATCCAAATTGTGGCACATTTTCAAAACGTCTGTTTCCTATTTTTATGTCATGATCTTGCCCTGCATTTTGGTGATGAGACAGCAATATATACTTGGTTTTCTGTGTGTTTACTTCTAGACCAACCTCTTTACTTGCAACAATTAAAGTTTGTGTGTTTTTCTTTATGGTATTTACATTATCGCCCAGTACATTCACATCATCGGCATAGGCCAACAGCTGATGTGCCCCATTTAATTTCTGTCCCACCTGGTTTCCCTGGACCTTTCTAATTGCATATTCTAAAGCAAAGTTGAAAAGGAGTGGCAATAAAGAATCTCCTTGTTTTAGACCATTCTGGAGAGGAAATTTATCAGACAAATGTTTACCTACATGGACTTGACTTTACATTTCATTTAAACACATTTTAATCAACATAACTAGTTTCATTGGTATCCCAAACTCTATCAGAATATTGTACAATACTTCCCTCCTAACCGAATCATAGTCTTTCTTGAAGTCTATGAATAGCTGATGTGCTGTCTCATCATACTCCCATGTTTTCTCCAGTATCTGACGAAAGCCAAAGAGCTGATCTGTAGTTGATCTGTTACGTCGAAACCCACACTGATGATTCCCAATAATTCCATCTATATATGGGCTTAACCCTGAGAGAAGAATATTGGATAAAATTTTGTATGAAGTTGATAACAGTGATACCCCCCAGTAATTACTACAGTCAGTTTTATTACACTTCTTGAGAATTGGTACAATAATAGACTCCTTCCACTGATCAGGCAATTTTTCCTTATGCCAAATAGAAGAAATTAGATTTGTGGATCTTAGAACATATTTCGCCTCCTGCTTGAAAAAGTTCTGCCACACATTATTGTAAATCATGGTCAGCCTTCAACTTCATTTTTCATCCTTTCATAAAATACTCCGATATTCCACAGACTTGCCAATGTCATTAGTAGGCATCCTCAGCTGCTTCCGCAGCCCTTTAATCCAGTCTCCCCACCCCTGGTTCCAGATATGTGTTCAGTACCAACTCATTATATGCCATTGCATTCAATTGCTATCCCTTCCATTTCTAAAGATTCACAGCCAACCCCCTCTTTCCCACAGTATGTGATGTTCCATCGCACACCGTCCACTGAGGATCCACCAACCACACAAGTTCAAAACCTGGAAATAGCTCATCAAACTGCAGCTTACCAGGATTATCACCTTCACCTCTCGGACTCCAGCTACTGGCATTTCAGATTACTGGGAATGATCTACCAGACATGCCAGTAACAGCTGGAAATCCAGCAAAGAAATTTACAAGACCATTTAATGCAATACCAGTCCATTTGGAAGAGCCCAGTGGTGCAACAGGTGAATCATACACGGAGTACAGGAATAGGGTGTTGGCTTTTCTAGAAGCCGCAAAGAGGAACGGTGAAAGTAAAAAGAGTGCCCCAGTACCAAAGCACACACCAAGTCCACAGCAGTCACCATCCACAGAAGGAACTCCTTCAAATGGAAAGGATGCAGCGTATCTGTTGAAACGGAAGAAAAACAATCTTGCAGCAAAGCGGTCACGAGATCTCCGCAGGGCAAAAGAGGACAAACTCACAATCAGGGTATCATACTTGGAGCGAGAAAACAAGGCATTGAGATGTCTACTCATGCAACACCAAGACTGGAAATACCATGTTGTCTGCAGACATAAGACATTTTAAGTGCTTCAGAGTGTTTACTTGTGTGTGGAGACGGAGTTCTGCATACAAAAATCTGACCATGTGACCCTTGTTTATATTACATTTTTGGTGATGAAATAATGTTCGATAAACCGGAAGTCAACTGAATCGATATGTCAGAAACAACTTGAGACACAACTGGCTGATTTTTCAAGTAACCTTAATGATGATCATAATGATTAAAAATGTAAATGAGTTTGAGAGATTTGTTGCCAGGGTAAGGATTTTTGCCGCATTGTAATAAAGTATTTATCTCCAAAATTGCAGAAAATGATGGTTGTTGTTCAGATTCTTAATCTTCCATAAAGTTAAAAAAAAGTAAAGCTATCCCCGTAACAGGCTGTGTAGGCCCATAGGTTTGTGAGACGTTGAGGGTCCCACATTATCTAGACCAGGGGTCTCCAAACTTTTTGAAAGGCCTGCCACATTAGGTAATTCAGCATTTTCAACAGGTTGGATAAAGTGAGAAATTAATAACTCTAGGTATATGGGTTTTGCTGGTTACGGTAACCAAGCGGTCTAAGGCATGTACTGTCTTCGCTCGCTTGGAAACCGGGATCGTGGGTTCGAATCCCACTCAAGGCATGGATGTATAGTTTATGTGTGTGCGTTTTTCTGTGTTTGTGTACAGGTAGAGGCCTTGCGACGAGCTGATCACCCGTCCAAGGAGTCCTACCGATTGTGTAAGATCTAGAAAAACCGAAGTGAACGGAGAAGTTCATGGAGGTAGGCCTAGGCCCACTGGGGTTCTAGTGCCAATGAAAAAAAAAAGAGTTTTATTGAAAGCACAGAATTTCGTAAACTAAATACAAAGTACGTGAGAATAAATTATCATATATTAATGACAACAGACAGTAGCAGCAAATGCTCATATTTTCATTACAAATTATAATAAAACAATTAATGTGAATGATGGAACTCTTTTTGCATTCTTAAAATCTGATAAAATTGAGGTGATGATCTGTTACAATTACACTGCACCACTGCAAGAAGTCTTGTGCACAAGACGGCTAGTAACGAACTGCTCACGCTACCTACATTGCCACGAAGTGACTGCCGATCGAGGACAAACAAGTACGAAGAAATACCGCGCAGTATACGGTCCAGAATTAGTAAAATTGTGAATAATATTAATATTAACACAATATGGAATATCAATATATTTTAAACACAATCTTAATTCATGTATTGAAATCTATGAACAAGTATTTTTTTTACCAGTACTCATTGGAAAATTAGTTCAATTGGCGCATTTCTGCACAATTCTTTCGCGGGCCGGATGAAATCACATCGCGGGCCGCATTTGGCCCGCGGGCCATAGTTTGGAGACCCTTGATCTAGACAATCGGTTCAAAGATGGCGGTAAGGTTGTCATCCTTACACGCTGGCCGCGCTTTACTCCCCAGGAACATTATATGATTAATTCCTGATACTCATTTCTGTTAGAGGCTGATTCAACCCCAGGGCCATAGTGCAGCTGGAAGGATTGGGTCAATTGAAAAAATCCAATGACCTCATCGGGACTTGAACTCACGACGTTCCTGCTTGTAGCATAGTGGCTCAACCAACTACTCTACCACGTGCCCCCAGTCTTCCATAAGAATTATTTTTAATTGTGCCTTACATCGTTTCTGCACCAACTGTTACTGCTGCCTATATCATTACTGCATACAAAAAAAATTAATTTTATATACTCATACATTTCTTGAGTTCTATATATATTAACTTCACATTGACAACACAGATGATTTCATCGTACAACTAAATTTGTATTTGTATTTCTTGTAAGTTCGAGAGATACAAAGATGGATATAGAACATTTCATAAAATAACATAGAGCACAGAATACGTACATAAATATTACATAACTAGACAGAACAATGAATACAACAATATTATAAATTATCTATTTAGATATTCATCCAGAGTATAAAATGTATGAGCATTCAAGAAATGCCTTAATACAAACTTAAACTTTTTTTAAATTATTGGATGTGTTCTTGATCTCTATGGGCAATTTATTGAATATTTTTATACCCATGTAATTAACTCCTTTTTGATAAATAGTTAGATTAGCTTGAGGTTTTGTCTTTGTCTAGTATCAATAGTATGAGACTCAATGTTTGATGGAAAAAGAACTTTATTTTGCAATACATACACTAACAACGAAAATATATATTGTGATTCATTTATTCATCAGTAATCTGTCAGACGACAGGTCCACAGTCTCTTCCAAAACAGTTCCTCCACTTGATGCGATCTAGAGCTTTCTCCTTCAAAAATATCCTCTTCTGTCCCCAACGTCATCCAGGATCTTCTTACATCTTCTTCCTCGTCTTCTGGTTCACATACATGGTGTCTCTGTTTTTGGAAAGAGACTATCCAGGAAAAGTGATAATGTAGTTGTTATTCCATTTGCTTTCCACATCGCAGTACAACATCCATTCAAACCACTCTGGTCACGCCTGTTGCTATACGAACTTGAACCATTTTGAGGATCATTTGCTCTGTGTTTCAAGTCGCTGCTGATGGCGCTGCTTCCGGCATCAGTTTTTGGTTTTTGGTGTCTCTCTTCGTATAATGCCTACTCTTTCACCTGTCCAGCAAGGGAGGCCCTGCCAGTAGCTACGCTACCGCTGGTATAGCTCTCAGGGTCCTTGGCATACTCAAACCCCCCTCACCACAATAATATGCAGACACAAAAAAAATGCACACACATATGTATATAAAATGTGTAGTGGCGCCGGATACAAGTGACAAAATATTTAACTCCTTAAATATGTTTCTACACGAAACCCTATTGCCATATCCATACATCACTCTGATAGCATTTTTTTAGAAAAAAATAGAACTATTAGATGAGTTTCCCCAAAAGATGATACCATAGCTCATTAAGGAGTGAAAAAAGGAATAATAGATTACCTTTAAATCTGAAATAGACATAATATTTCATATTTCTAATTATGCAACAAGCCGTACTTAATTTCTTTATAAGTAAATCACTGTGATTCTTCCATATTATTGCACTATCAATTATAACTCCCAAGAATTTAGTACTGAGGGTACTGTTGCTAAACTTATTATGATTAATTGCAAAAGTATCTGACATTATTGTCTTAGTAGTACAAATTGAATACAGTGTGTCTTCTTAAAGTTTAAAGATAATTTATTAGCTTTAAACCATCCATTTAAGATTTCAATTGTTATAAGAATATTCCTGCTAAGATCATTTGTATTAGAGTTTGAAAATAAGATGCTAGTATCATCATCAAAAATTATAGGTGTGGAAAATTTGTTTAATATTTTGGGCAAGTCATTTATGTATAAGAGAAACAACAAAGGTCCTAATACAGACCCTTGCGGCACTCCCTGTCTAACATTAACCCAATCTGAGGATACTGTATTCACATCACTTTTATGTATTACTGTTCTAATATATCTGTTACTTAAACAAGATTCATAAAGTGCATGATCTTTCCCAGTAATACCATAAAATTTAAGTTTGGACAGCAAGATATCATGATCTACACAGTCAAAGGCTGCCACTAATTGTTTGTTGTTCACAGAATTTAAAATCTCTGTAGTCAATTTGTAAATTGCTTTATCTGTTTTTGATCCTTTCCCAAATCCATATTGTTCAGTACTTAGGATATTATACTTATTAAGATGTTCTAAAGTTCTTGTATATATTATAGTTTCAAATATTTTCGAGAAAGATGTTAGGAGTAAAAGTGAAATAGGTCTAAAATTAGATACATTCCATATATCACCATTCTTATACAAGTGTTTTATTATGGCATATTCTAGTCTGTCAGGAAAAACTCCTCCCCTTAACATTTTATTGCATATATGCTTTATCCCCCCTTATCGTGGTGAGGGGGTTTGAGTATGCTAAGGACCCTGAGAGCTATACCAGCGGCAGCGTAGCTACTGGCAGGGCCTCCCTTGCTGGACAGGTCAAAGGTTGGGCATCAGACGAAGAGAGACACCAAAAACCAAAAACTGATGCCGGAAGCAGCGTCATCAGCAGCGACTTGAAGCACAGAACAAATGATGCTCGAGATGGTTCAAGTTCGTATAGCAACAGGCGTGACCAGAGTGGTTTGAACGGCTGCTGTACTGCGATGTGGAAAGCAAATGGAAAAACTACCACATTATCACTTTTCCTGGATAGTCTCTTTCCAAAAACAGAAGATCGCATTAAGTGGAGGAACTGTTTTGGAAGAGATTGTGGACCTGTCGTCTGACAGATTACTGATGAATGAATGAATGAATACTTTATCACTGAAATTATAAATGGCCAAATTATTTTTAAAATAATAGGTCATATCTGATCATATTCACACAAGTTTTTTAATTTAAGAGATTTTATTATATTCTTTATTTGTAGAGCATTTAAAGTTTACATTTGGGTACGAATTTATAAAAGCTTGATCCATATAATACATATGATTCAGATGACATGACATGTATAAATTAAAATGTAAATAGAGTATAATAATATGTACATACTAACATAGTAAATAAAACTAGCACGTCTATCAAATTACGATAAACAAGGTTAAATACACTGCAGAATGTAAACACCAATCACAGGCAGTGAAACATAATATATTAACAAAAAATATACCAAAGAATGTAGCTTCCCAAATGGAGTGTGTCGTCATAGCCTTGTAAACATATATGTTCTCATGCTCTCGTGGGATGCTATGCTGTGCAGCGTAACAGGGCATAACATCCCACAGGGCTATGATCTTAATATCCAACCTCAAATCTCACATATTGTAAATAAATTTATTCACAAATTTTAATATCTAATGCTATTAAAATGGATCTGTATTGACAGCTTTCTCATACACACACCAGTATAAATTTGTTCCAGAGTAGCTCTGTCAATATAGACCAAGCTATGGGCTCAACAACTGGGCTTTCTATTCCCAGCGGGGAGCAGAGAGATATTTCTTTTTGACACTACATCTAGGCCAACTCTGGGGCCCACCCAGTTAACTATGGAATGGGGACCCAGAGGTGTAGAGCCCAACACATGAAACTGTCTGACCATTTTAATCAAGCTCAGGGTTCAGAATGTGTGGAGGTAATACCTCTACTCTCCAATCTTCTCTCCATGGCTTGGTGCTTCATTGATAGCTTTACATATGAAATACTACATATACACACTCATTTATCTTGAAGTCAGTAATCCTTCAGATATATGTGTGCAGTCTGGAACATGAATTTCAACACAGTATTTGGCTAAAAGCCTCTTTGATCAATGAATATATGAATATTTTACTGTTCTATGTGCTCCTTATGTCCTGTATGTATATATTTCGCTTCTTTACAAAGAGCAGAGCCTCACATACACAAATACATCTCTCCTCTCACTTTTACAATATAAGGACTAGTTTTCTCCTGAAAGGCACGTCATGAAATTGATATTCTCATGGTGGTGACTGTGATGAGTACCATGATCTGGCATGTAACAGTGTACAGTTTGATAGAATAACTTTTCAACCTGTAAATCCTTTGTACATATAAAGTCCAACATCAAAGGAACAGTAACATCATGGTTGATTATTATCAATTCTGTAGACGCAACGTATTCTGTTGAACCCATAAAAAGCAATTTAGGGTCATCTGAAGGGAGTAAGGGTTATGGAGGCTTCAATTCATTATAATTTGTCTTACTGAACAACAATTCTTTAAAAATTAACACACACATATATATATAGACAAGAATACCAAACGTAATAAATACAAGTGTTAATCTAATCTGAAATAGATCTTAAATAAAAATTTAAATAAATCATAAAATGAACAGGAAGTCTAATATTTATCAATACAGAATCAATTCCAAAATCTGATAGTATAAAAATTATATGTTACACTAGAAATCACTGTTAAAATTAATTAAAAAAGAATACATTAGAAATCACTAAACAGTTTCTGATAAAGTAAATCAGTTGTCAGTCATATTTTGTGCAATTATCGGATATAAAAACGCCAGTAGAATGTTGTATTATAAACACTTTGATAGGCCTCACAAAGGGTTAATCAGTTTGAAATAAGTACTGTATTAATGTGTTTCTTTTCCTCCACAGCAATATTATGATTTTCCTAATCAATAAGGTGACACCCAAATTCAGCACAGGATTACAGTAATTCTCATCAATGGAGTACAGTCATCGACCTGCTGACTTTTCATCACCAGGCTCACAAGACTATCGTCAACATACAGATGATGCCCTAGATCTCAGTATTCGCAGTCGTAAAGAGGAAGCAGTCATTGCACAAGACTGCTGTACGCCACCTACAGACATTTCTCTAAATCATGGTCAGCCTTCAACATCATCTTTTCGTCCATTTATAAAATACCCCCACATTCCACAGACTGCCAGTGCGATTAGTAGACATCCTCAGCTGCTTCTGCAGCCCTCTGATCCAGTCTCCCCCCCCTGGTTCCAGATATGTGTTCAGTACCGTCTCCTTGTTATATGCAATTGCATTCAGTTGCTATCCCTTCCACTTCTAGAGATTTGCAGCCAGCCCCCTCTTTCCCACAGTACATGATGTTCCATCGCACACTGTCCACTGAGGATCCACCAACCACACAAGAAGTTCCAACACCTGGAAACAGCTCGTCAAAATACAGCTTACCAGGATTATCACCTTCACCTCTCGGACTCCAGCTACCGGCATTTCAGATTACTGGGAACGATCTACCAGACATGCCAGTAACAGCTGGAAATCCAGCAAAGAAATTTATGAGGCCATTTAAAGTAATACCAGTCCATTTGGAAGAACCCAGCGGTGCAACAGGTGAATCATACACAGAGTACAGGAATAGGGTGTTGGCTTTTCTAGAATTCGCAAAGAGAAATGGTGAAAGTAAAAAGTGTGCCCCAGTACCAAAGCAAAGCCAAGTCCACAGCGGTCACCATCCACAGAAGGAACTCCTTCAAATGGAAAAGGAGGCAGCGTATCTGTTGAAACGGAAGAAAAACATGCTGCAGCAAAGCGGTCACGAGATCTCCGCAGGGCAAAAGAGGATGAACTTGCAATTAGAGTGTCATATTTAGAGTGCAAAACAAGACACTAAAATGTCTGCTCGTGCAGTATAGTGATTGGTACTGCCAAGTTGTCTGTAGTAAATGCCAGCATAATGCAATTTGGATACTTGAGAGAATTTAGTTTTATGTGGAGATAATATTGGACCAATGATCATCTGAGAAACGATGATGATGACATCCACGATGATTGAGATGGTGGTGAAGGTAATAAAACTGAAGAAAAAAAAAAGTGTTTGAGTGATATAATTTTGAGATCAGAATTTCTACTTGTAATACTCTTAAAGTATTTATCTCCTGAAATTGTAGAAAGTGATGGTTGCTTTATCATATTTTTAATCTTCCGTAAGAAATATTTTTAATTGTGCTTCATACTATGATAAACAAGGTCGAATACAGTATCGAATGTAAACACCAATCACAGACAGTTAAACATAATATATTAATAAAAAATGTACCAAAGAATGTAGCTTACCAAAGGCATGTCATGTAGCTTTGTAAAGAAAGAGAGGTTCTCATGCTCCTGTGGGTTGCTATGCTGTACAGCATAACAGGACATAACATCTGTCACGAGTATGTCCCTAATAATATTCATGCTGTGAGAACCTCAAGCCTCACATATTGTAAATAACTTCACAAATTTTAACTTTTAACTAATGCTCTAGAAAGTGAACTTCTATTGACCGTCCTCTTATACACACACCAGCATACATTGCCATGCCACAGTAGCTCTGTCAATGGAGTGACTTAGCTGTGGACTGCACAACTGGGCTTTCTATTCCAAGCAGCTAGCAGAGACGTTTATGCACGTCTGAAAGAGAACCAGTTCCATTTCCTAGCAGAAATGCATAGTGGCAAACAAGACAAAAGTCTTGCATCAGACATTGTATTTTAAATTTTAATGCTGAGGCTAAAACCACACATGGAAGTCCTGGCAGCATTTTTTTTTTTTTTTTTTTTTTTTTAAGAAAAAGAAAATGCTGATAAATTTCATGCGTATTAATCACATACTGTATATTTACAATTTCCACAGGTTTAAAGAAGGGGTCAATTTATTATAACTGCTTTTAATTTTTTCTCTAAAATATGTGTTCGGTAAGTCACTGAGGTACAGAGGGGATTAGAACGCAGTGGAAGACAGTAATATGTTATACTGGTGATGCTAAATTGAATAAAAAAAAATAAATACTGTAAACAACAGGACCACAATTCTCTCACATGTCAGTAACATAATATAGAAGAAGCAATGTGTGTTCACATCACATGAAAAAAATGTTAGGCAGAGCTCCCATGCATGTTGAAAAATGGTAATAAATCTTCCACAATTAAGCAAGATTCAAGTACTTTTGTACAACATTAAAAATTGAACTGATTTCTGTGCTGGTACTATGGGCAAAATAAACACAAGGAATGAAATAATGAATTATTTCCTTTCCAAATTACTAAATATAAATATACAGTAGATGAATAGCTGCTCCTATTTGTATGGATGTGACACAACTTCTTCCCTTAAGGAATCAATGTGTTTTAAAACCAGTAATGCAAAGACTGAAGTTTTGTGGATGGAAAAATTAAATCACATAATGAAATTTATAATTTACCTAGTACAGTGAAGGTGGTTAAATGAACTAGATTTAGGCGGCTGTAACATGCAGCACAGAATATTTTTATGATTCTGTCCAGAAATACTGACAAAAATTTCAGACGAACTTCACCCAAATACACTGGCTACCGGGCTGATGTAAAATTTCCTGATTATAAAGCTGGACATCCCACCACCTGGCTGAATGGGTCCGTACTAGGCGGACGAATTTAACCGTTATAATTGTCAAGTGCTGCGACCTGACCGATCTGACCGAGCGCAGAACGCAGTTTCGTACCGCTGACATTTAAAATTTTTTAATTTTCCTTCGGGGAGAATGATTTGTGCCGCAGATAATATACCTGTGGTCACCTTTGGTTACACTAAATGAGAATCATCTTTGCTGAGACGTTGGCAGTAGTAGGTTATAATCTTTGCGATTGGCGCAATAATACAGGTTTCAAAATGGCCGTGTATATGTTTTTGGTGCTTAAGATTGAAATGTATTCAACTGGTCTTTCTTGTGTCTAATATAGATAACGCGTCATTGATTTATGTAAATAATTTTTTTGCGTACGAAAGTCTTTGGATGAGTCTGTGTAAATAAAGTTATATTTAGCTTTAGTGTCGATTCTTTTTGGTTTATGTAGTTGGAGTACATTTCTGTAAGTGAAATTTACAGTTAAGCACAGAGTGAAACATATTTGTATGTGGAATAACATTAGATAAATCTGCATTTAGTTGTCGAACAATACCACATTATCATTTAATGCAGTTATTAGGACAGCTACTGGTAACCTTGATTTTATGTGTTATACTTGACCCTGTTTTAAACTTACATAATCAAAAACTGATACATTATGCGATGTATATGTTGCAGTAGTCAAAAACTGATAAATGACGCCATATATATATATATGTGTGTGTGTGTGTGTGTTGCAAGTACGTTTTAGAGAGTGTGGACCAATATTGATAGAGTTACATGGCTTATATGGAGCTAAATTTTACTAGGAAAATCATCTTGGAGTAAAATATTTGGCAAAACAAGTGCAATCTTAATAAATTGTAAGAATTAATGACTTAAATAACAGTGCATATAATGCAGTCTGATCAGGATGCAAATCATTTGCTTTTCAAATCGCAAGATATGCACAGGGGCTGTTAATGGTAAAGATCTGAAAATCGTTTCTGTTTTATCAACTTCATAGCATGTAATATAATGTAGAGTATACAATTTAACATTTCAGCTTGTGGTTATGTCAAAACTCGATGTGTTATGTAAACTTGGAGTGGGGCGCAGGCAGCCTTCTGACCCATTCTTTGCAGAAGGTGATGCTGTTTGCAAAGCATATAAACGTGAAGGCATTGTGGAGGTTGATGATGAAGATTTGTGCCATGAAGTGTAAGCTACAGTATTACTTACCAGTGACCATTCAGTATTTCAGCCATATGTTTTGGGTGTACAGGGAGTACTTTTAACTTTAAATATGTCTTTACCCACTACTGTCATCATCACTTCAAATGTCAGTGATATGACATCCCAAAAATGGGAGTGACAGTGTGACATATATTCTTAATAAATAAACAGTTTGTATGTAAAGTATGGATAAGTTGAAAAGTAAAGTAAGTTATAGAACTTACCTAACCTACAAGTTTTATATGTTTGTCTGCTTTATTACAGTTTTAAAAAGTCATAAGGTATTTTAAAATTTGGAAAGAAGAAAGTGAACATGCCATTTGTTAAAATCCTATTTCTGTAACAGAGAATATGTAAGTTTTGAGTGCCAAATCACACTTTTATGCAGAAAGTCCCTTGGAACTGTGGGCTCAAGTGAACATATTGTAACGGCCGGATGATAGTCGCTGCGAGAAGTATCCAAAACAGGAGATGCTGCAAGAACAGCCTCCAAAGAAAAGGAACGGGGGAAGCACTGTTAGGCTATTCGGGACGAACAGCCTTAAGGAGGGAGCAGTGTGACATGTTGCGCAACGGAGGACCCCTACCTCCCCAGCGGCACGTGGCGGTAACGTAGCGCTCGTAATAGGCGAGTCATCACCCTGCCACTCTCCCCGCGGTGACGTGCCGAGCGGAGCCGAAGTTAGCAGAGTCCCCGCAACCTGGTAGCTACGCAACGCGAGTCAACAGCGGTGACGTCACCAAGGGATATCGCGGTTGCTAGGCAGCAGTCAACAACTCCGGACAGCGTTGCTAGCAACACNAACCATTCCCTGATGATAGATGAATGGGACTGTGTTCAAGCTGAGGTGACCCAGAGAGATGCCCTGGTGCTTTTTTGAAAACCTGGGCACTGACTGGCACTAAAAATAATTTCAGACATAAATAATGTAGAACGCATCCAATCTGATGTAAAACTCATTTTGCGAGCTGTTAGTTGTTCAGTTTTGCATTTGAATGTGTACTCATCACCATCTGTGAGCTGATTGTCTAGAACATGTGGGAGCCTTGATGTCTCACAACCCTATGGCTCTCCACAGCCTGTTGCAAGGATAGCTTTACGTTTTTACCTCTATATGTAATGCTGTTGTGAAGTAACAACCAGAACAAACTCATATGATGATCCTTTCAACCTGGAACTGCATTCCAGACCGCCCTGGAACTTATTTTTGGCACTACACCCCCTACAGATGAGTACTGGTAGGCTGATAGTTGGCAGGAGGGAGCTAACATGCATGGGGAAAAATCCTGCCACTTTGTCCATCACAAGTCTCTTGTGAACTGCTCAGGAACTGAATCCCAGGCTCTATTGCAGGGAGCCAGCAATTAACTGCCTCAGCTGTGGAACTGGGATAGGTGGAGATGAACGATTTTGTGGTAAAAATAAACTTTCCTATGTCAATAAGAACGAGGCACGCAGTAGCATAGTTGGTTGAGACACTATGCTACAAGCCAGAAGGTCGCAGGTTCAAGTCCTGATGAGGTCATTGGATTTTTTTCAATTGACCTAATCCTTCCGGCTGCTCTGTGGCCCTGGGGTCGACTCAGCCACAAACAGGAATGAGTACCAGGAATTAATTAAATCATTTTCCCGGGGAGTAAAGCACTGACAACCTTACTGCCATATTTGAGCTGATTGTCTAGATAATGTGGGATCCTCAACGTCTCACAACCCTATGGGCCTTCACGGACTGTTACAGGGTTAGCTTTACTTTACTTTACTTTATGTCAATAAAAACAGGGAGTTTCTTCAACATATAAGTAAATGTTTATGCAGGTCCCCGTTTTCAGAGCATTTGTTAATATATTTATTGGTATAAAATGAATTAATTACATATTCTTTGTCCACAGTATTGCCAAATTTCCATGCAGCGTGTTTGGTTGTATGCTTGAATTTGACTCATTGCTGCAATATGAGATGCATTATAATTCGTCTCATCGGTATATCTGCAGTGAATGTAGGAAGCGACTTCCTTCACCACATTTGTTGGATTTGCATATTTCAGAAACACATGATTCGTTTTTCTTGGCCCAGACACAAAGGAACCCCATGGTATGCTATATGATAAAACTCGTTACATTATATATGACACTGAGCCTGCAGAAATGCATTTCAGGGATATTGGGGATGATGTCACATGAAGCTTTACCTTTCCTATTTACTGTTTCTGGCATATGTCAACCAACCCAAAATTCTTATGACCACTGAAGATATCATATCATCACTTCATGTGAATGAAAGGAATGCAGGGAAGTGTGCAACAGAGGCAAGTATAGTTGCATGGTGGAGATTTGAAGAGGATCAATCCATTGAATTTTCTTCTGTGGGCTCAGTGGATTCACTAAAATAGTTAATTTTCCTTTCTTCTGTTCTTACACTGTGAACCACGTCAGTTCAGCCAGTGTGCAAGGCAGGAGAGAAGACTTGGGGCAGTACAAGCTGTACGAGTGAGTGGCTGAGTCTACATGAGAACATCTTGTCTTCTTTAATGTGTATTTCCTTGTTTCTCATTCATTTAGTGCCATGTTCAATCTTGAATACTCATTTTATATATAGTGTAAAATGTAAAGTTATCCCTGTGCTTAATTAATTACTCACTGTGCCATGAAAACTTATGGGGGTAGTGGAGGTATAGCTGCACCATCCAGTACCCATTGGATAGCCAGCTGGGTGAGCCCAAGAGCCAGTTTGAATGTCATGGAGAAGAGAAAAATCTTCCCCCTGCAGAAATTCAAACCCAGGCCATCCAACCCATAGCCCATCCCTATACCGACTGAGCTAACCTAACTCCTTTTTATATATAGTGCAGGCACAAGTAACCATGCTGTTGAAGCACGTCTAAACCCTTTACTGCAGCTACATACAATGTGAGATCTATCAAAATTTATTGTCAAGAAGTCGTATACATAATTGTTATTACTCTGAAGTTTGTTTGTGATTAACTTCTTTCGTTTTCTGTTCATCTTTCCTTCATGAGGAGTCAAACCTTCATTGTATTGTGCTTAAACACTTTTCTTTGAATAAGCAATCAAGAATTAATTAACAATTTTATCTGTTCTACAGTGTAAGTAGTGTGACATCCATTCAGAACTCGGCAGGAAGTCTCAATATTTGTTATATAAGCTGCTGTACTGTGCTTGCTCCCATATGCCTTTCCAGTTATGCATGTTATTAAATGATGTATCAAGGCCAGTTTAGGCCACACCATAGCTCAAGCAGTTAGTTGCTGGCTTCTCACTGGGACAGCCCTGGTTCAAGCCCGGGTCTGGTCGTGTGGGATTTGTGGTGGACAAAGTGGCACTAGAACAGGTTTTCTCCGAGTACTTCTGTTTCCCCTGCCAATCTTCATTCCACCAATTGCTGCATAATCACCCTCATCTATCATCTGGGGCTGGTACAATAGGCCAGAAGTGGCCGCAGTACCAAGTGGACTTAGTCCCACACCACTAAAGGAAAAAAAAAAAACTGTTTATAATGCCATCTCCCATAAATAACAAACAGTTAATTTGACATTTAATTTATTACTGTTCTTCATGTATCCATATTAAAATATCACCACTTACTGAATAGATAAAAGACATTGAAAGTAAAGATCTCTTGCTTGCCTGTGACTTACTACATAACTTATATTTGTGCTGTGTATTAGCAATTGAAAATTTGTTACTGTGGTAACCAAAATTTGCTGAATTTACAGTTTTCATCTCATAAAAGTTGTCTCTGTGCATAAAGAATTAAGCACTACACCATGAAGGCATATGGGGGAGTGGATGTATAGACCCACATTTCCTTGATCTCGGCACTAGCTGAAGATGAGTGGTCAGGTTCATGCCCCGGCTGCTTTACCCCTGGGGAAGGATCCCCCAGCACCATTGGGTAGGAGGGTGGGTGTGGGCCCCAGAGCCAGTCTGGACAACATGAAGTAGTGAGAATTCTTGCCCCCCTGCCAGGGGCCTGTTGGTCGTCCAGCCCACAGCCAGACACTATACCGACTACGCTATCCC